TCTCGAGGAGCCGAGAAGGGCGTCTTCGCCCTGCCGAAAGGAGCCAGTGGCAAGGTCAAACTAGCCAAACCGGTCGTCGAACCCAAAGCTCCTGTTAGTCACCCTCAACCCCTACAGGCCCCCCCCATGTACAATCACTGACGCACTTTCGGAAAAATCTCACAGAAGCCCGCTTCCAAGACCGCCAAACCTGCTAGCAAGACCACCACCAAGAAGCCCGCCGCCGAGAAACCCGCATCTGTTAAGAAGGCCGAGAAACCTGCGCCAGTCAAGAAGCCAGCCAAGAAAGTGCCCACCGCTCCTCTGAAAAAGGTCGCCACCGCCAAGGAGGTAAGTCGGCGGGCCTTCGCTTTCTGCTCGCTTTCCGATCGATACTGATCGTCTCTCTCTCTCCCCTTTATTGTAGTCGACTGGCAAGAAGACAAGCTCCACGACAAAGAAAGTCAAAGCAGCAGCGAAGAAATCGTGATCCGGTCTCTCCTGCTCTCTCTTTTGATATCTTATCTTGATCCTTCCTTGTCTTCTCTTCCACTATCTTTTCGATTATCTTTGTCCCCTTCTGTTATTGCTAATTTCCACACCCTTCTTCTTTCTTTGTTTGTTTGTTTGTTGGCTCTCTCTCCATCTCTTTTTTCATTTTCGCTCGAACGGTCATGTATTTTTTTCCCCACCTGTTTTCTCCATTATATGAAACCCAAGAAGAAAGAAAAAAAAACGTCGGAAACTTATATATCTATATACAAACATATATAACCATGTGCTGTTTGTTCGATCGTTTGGATTTTTGTTTTCTTCTTCCTTTTTCATGTTACTGTTCCCCCGAATCTCGTTGCTTTGAATCTAAGAAAACGTGTTGTTCCCATTACGAAAGTCCATCGCTCCCTGACTGGTGTCGAAGTGCCCATTTCCCCCACTCTATGTAAAGACTCACATGGTCGGGGCAGGAGTCCCCTTTCCCCGCCAGACACACCAACGCACTCGAACCTTCGAGAACCCGACCACTCTTTCCCGCATCACCGACACAGTCGCACCCTTATCGTAACACATGAACTCTTTGGAGAAAAGCTTTCACGGTCCCACCCACCTTCGATCACGGGCCGTTTTCTGTCATCCCTTCCATCGCACGCTGTATGTATGTATGCCTGAAGATTTTTTTTTATTTTCTTTTCGATACATACAGCTTTTAGGAG